GAGAGTGGAGGAACAGGGGGAGAGGAGGACAGGGGGAGAGTGAGGAACGCATGGGAATGCAATGTGAAGGGGGGCAAGAGATCAAATAACAATCAGTTTGTAGCCTAAAACAACATAGATACAAAGATATTTACAGATTTCCAGCCAGAATACCGACATTCAAAATCACAGCAGCCACAATGGCGAAGAGCAAAATTGCGAACAGCCATGTCACTATTTAGAAAACGAAGCGGCGACGCTATTTTGTCGGAATTTTAGATATGGCCCATATTTACAACACACAGATGCATACTACTATCAGGTTGGAAAGAAAGTAATGGCACAAAATCTTTGAACCGCTACTAAAACCCGCAGGAACGTCCGATTTGAAAGTTTGATATATGGTTTGGTAGATCTTCAGACGCTCTATCGCGCAACAACCCCTAAAGCACCCAAAACTGAGGTACCGCGAAGATACGGGCCTCGAAGTTTCACAGAAAATTAGGTGCAAGCTTCCAAGCAAAATATCTTTGCATACCGGCATTTGCATGCGATACTTTTAACACCAATCGATAGCCCTCGAGGAGTAGATATCGATAAATCTTGAGATCATCAAAATCGGACACTGGATGGCCGAGATATGGGCCCTTGAAATTTGGTCCGCTTCTTAGAACTTTTCCCAAAATCCCATACATTTTGGCCTACGTGAGCCAAAAACTGCAGCGTTTGCTTCAGCTCCCGAACCAAAATCCAAAAAATGCATTGATCTTGGAGGGCCCATATCTCGGCCATCTAGTGTCCGATTTTGATGATCTCAAGATTTATCGATATCTACTCCTCGAGGGCTATCGATTGGTGTTAAAAGTATCGCATGCAAATGCCGGTATGCAAAGATATTTTGCTTGGAAGCTTGCACCTAATTTTCTGTGAAACTTCTGAGGCCCGTATCTTCGCGTACCTCAGTTTTTGGGTGCTTTAGGGGTTGTTGCGCGATAGAGCGTCTGAAGATCTACCAAACCATATATCAAACTGTCAAATCGGACGTTCCTGCGGGTTTTAGTAGCGGTTCAAAGATTTTGTGCCATTACTTTCTTTCCAACCTGATACAAAAAATGCGCGAAACTCGTTACTGGACTGTTAGCAGGGGGAAAATCATTTTCCAAGTAATCCCGTACGACCTTATAATGAAATATAAACCATTTTTAGTATCTTATGATTTTTAGGCAAAAACGCTCAGAAACTTTTTCGACATTTTTGAATTTTTTTTGCCCAAAATTTATTTAAAATGACCAAAAAGCACCAGAAATTGTAACTTTTTTAAAAACCAAAAAAATTTATGTTCCCACCCCGCTAACAGTCCAGAACCCAAAATTCATTGCGCTATTAAATGGCCTCGATCCAGCGAGTCGAGCGCCATTTCCCGAATCCGGCGCGCGCTTCGCCGTTGCACGGTTGCGGTGCCAAGAACTTCGGCCAGCTTCATCGCCACCCAATGCCGACAGCTCCAGCGCCGTTGGTTTGTCAGCACCCTGGAATCAGGCTGAATTTGAGCGACATCACAAAAACTTACTCTGTTTCGTAGAACAAGCACGGGCACCACTTGACGTTGCTGTAGAGTGTAAACCGCAGCGAGCTTCTCGGGTTCTCGCATACCTGAAGAGTCAACTTAAATTCGAAAAGCTATTCTGACGCTACCTCATAAATTGCCAACCTTTTGCGGGTTTTCCTTCTCCTCCCGTTCAGCGCTTGTAGCCATAATGCGCCCAGATCTTCTTCGCTATTCAGCGCTTCTCCCGCGTCGTCGGCCCCAAATAAAGACGGGGAATTCTAGAGACAAATTGAAATTTGCAAGGAGATCTTACGTCATCTTCAATAATAGGCTCAGCCTCGGATTCGAGACACTCTTCGAACCGCTTCACCGAGTCGGTGATGGCCAGCTGGACAGCATCGAGCAACACCGATTCTAGAAGCTGTTCAAAAACTCGGCAATCTCCAGCCTACCCCCAATAATCGCGCGCATCCGGCCGAAGACGGCATAGGCCCCATTTTCCGGAACGGCTTTCCGTTTCTTTCCACGTGACGTGGGTCTTGTTGTATCGAGCTAAAGGAAAACTTGATTATTCTTGAAAGCAATTTTACCTTTACGCCTTGCAGCTGCTTGAGGAGCGCCTCAAATAGGCGACTGAGCAGGTAATCCGTTGTGTTTGCTATTTTATCGTCCTCCATTGAAGTATCGACCTTCTAGAAATATTCAATTTTATAAGCCTCCGATTGCTACTGCGGAAATCGAAGGAAAAAAGGACAAAAAAAAACCCCGATCTTGCTTTTTGCCATGACTAGAAAAGGCCGAATTTTTCGACGCTAATTTTCCGCTTCTATTTTTGCTTTTACTTCTCTCAGGAAAGCTAAACCCGCGGTCGGACCCGTTCTTTAACCCGCGGTCTGTCTGCAGCCGATTCCCTTCTTATCCCGCCTTCCAACCCGCGGTCGGGCCCGTTCTCAACCCAGGGTCGGACCTTTCCTGAACCCAGCTCCAGCCCGCGGTCTGATATTGCCACTAGTCAAGCCACTTCCGGCGCTTCCGCGCCCGCCTTCCGACTTATATTTCTAATACCACGCTTCGCGTGATATTAGAAACTAATCCGATCTTCCCGAAATTAAGATTTCATTTCTACGGAACACTTATTCTTGTTTTTAGATGCTTTCATTGTTTTAAGAGTTGCCATTTCCCACAGTAATAATAGGGTTGCGCTCGCAAGCAAATATTCGGGTATTGCGATAAGCAGCGCTTGTTTTTTGGTAGATGACCTAAGCAATACTTTAACAAGTTTCGGTTTCGAAAAAACCGAGCTACGTACACTAAAACTTTGCTTGAAAAATATTGCAAGTTGTCTCGTAGATTCTTCTGCGCATCCCGTATAAAAAATAGACATCGTCCTCTATGTGTTATATGCGCATCTGAATATACGAGATAACTTGCAAGGTTTAGAGACGAAGTTTTTTAGCTTTATTTCATTCGATTTTATATGGACGGCAAATATTAAAGTATTGTGTAGGTCGTCTACAAAAAAGTGATAATTCCAACCTACTGCAGCATATCAACACTACAAACAATGAAAACATAAAAACACACGAGTAAATTTTCCAAATAAATCTCAGTTTCTAATCCTAAACCACTAGCATAGATGAGTTCTTCGAAATTTGTGCAAAAGAAGTAGCTAACACTCAAAGGCACCGATTTTGCGTTATTATAGTTTCCTTAGGACGAAAATTAAACAAAAAGAAACATACGCTCCTTAGATAGAACCGGGATTTCAACTGGGCGCGCGAAGTAATTTAAAAAATTTTGGGAGTTCGATGTCGTCATCCAACCCGCCGTTAACCCGTCTTCGACCCGTGGTCGGACCCGTGGTCTAACCCGTTCTTGGATTTCAACCCGCTGTCTAACCCGTTCTCGGCTTCCGACCGCGGTCGAACCCATTCCAACGGGTCCGACCGCGGGTTTAGCTTTCCTGAGCTACTAAACTTTACA